CAGGACCACTCAGTGGAGACTGGTCAGGAATACAGAACTGCAAGGGGTGCAGTTCGCTGAAAAGACTCAGGACCAGACCCAGAGCCAAAGTTTCCACACAACCCAGGTATTCCAGACCTCATAAGACCTGGAAGTGCTTACAAGTTCTACAATTAAAACCTGAGCTGCACAAAAAGCCTTCCACAGGGAATCAGCAGCAATGAAGCAATTTAGCTCAATTACAGGGCTCAAGTGCTGATCCCCACAGGAAGTTCCCCCATTTTAGATGTAAGCAAAGGACAATAAATTAGTTCCAGTGCAGAGTTTAAGTGGTGAGAATAGGGAATAATCCAACACAGAACTGAAAGAAAAACAAAAACACTCACAAATCCGGGACACAGTTGTGATATTAACCAGTAAAGGTCTAACACCACCAAAAGAACACCTATTAATGTGTGTGTGTGTGTGTGTGTGTGTGTGTGTGCACGTACGAAGAACACTTAAGATGTGTGATCTGTGATCTGCTGTTAGAAAATTTTATTATTATTGTTATTATTATTATTATTAAAGGGGGTAGGAGAAAACTTAGGGAGGCAATGGATATGGCTTGATGGTGGTGATGGTTTCACGAGTATATATTTATCCTCAAACTCATTGAGTCATATACATTAAATAAGTACAGCTTTTTATGTGTCAATCATACCTCAATAAAGTGGTGTTTTAAAAAAGAAAAAAGGCAAGTTATAGAATTACATAAACAATATAAAACACCTATGCCAAGATGTAAAAAGAACACTGATATAATATATATTTTATGGTTCCATACATATCAAATGTACACAAACCATAGACATTTTTATCTTATCTGTAATGTTTTATTCATTGAAAAATATCTGAAACATTGTAGTGTCATATACTAAGAAGGAAAAATATAATAATAAAACTTTTATTTTGAAAAATTTCAAACTTATTTGCAATATGTATCTATATATTCTTCCCTTAGGTCCACATTTTCTATCTATGTTTCTCTCTCTTCATGTTTGTATGTGTATCTTTTTGTTGTTAAACCATTTGAGAGTTAGTTACAATGTGACATTTCATCCCTAAATGCTTCAACATGGAACATGGTTATTCTTCATGAATGCAATTATAACACTCACTAAATTTAACACTAAGCCTACAGTCTGTATTTGAAATTTTCCCAATGTCTGAATAATGTCTCTGATAGTTCTGTTTTGTTTATTTATCCAGGATGACCCATCGCTTTACATTTTCTCTATTTTCTTTTCATCTAAAACAGTTCCTGTGCTTGCTTTCTTTTCTCTCTTTTTTAGTATTTCATTCCTTCATGACACTGACATTTTTTGAGAAGTCCATGTTAATTGTTTTTCAGAATGTTGTGGTTGTCATTTTAAAATGAGATTTAGAAGAGTTGTATAACTTTTCTTCAACAAAGTTCAGATGATCAGGTGTGTGCAGGGAGTTAGCTTTCAGGGTAGTTAGGTTTAAGTAGGACTGCATGTGATTGGAAAAAAAGAAGAGCGAAGTTAAGGGAATTCTAATGATAAACCACCAAATCTACGCCGGTAGAGAGGAAAGTGAGAACATGAGAGGAATGATGATAATGATAAAGGGGTCATTATCGTCATACCCCAGGGTTCACTGGAGGTCTCTATAAACTCTCTATAAAGTGAAAGAATTGGATCATGAGCATAGGAAATGCAGCTAATTAGTGAATGCGTCTGTTCCTTATCACTAGATATGTTTGGCAGAAAGCTCAATTTTTATGGATGGGGTAAAATAAGAGAGACAGACCCTATACATAAAATTGTCTTATGAACACCATTGTTAGGACAATAGTACAGTATATATATGGACTTGCAAAGTGCTTTACTATAACTTTATGTCACAACTTCCAAGAGGAGCACCAGAAATTCTCATACTTAATTATACTGCCAATATCCCTAGCAAATTGGAGATATACTGTGGATAGACAACTGTCACATGGAACCCTTAAGTGACTATGAAGTCATTAAGTACATCAATGCTAGAATTGAGAAGAGAACCAGAGTCCTCACTCTCATATTGTCAATATCGCAGCCTAATGATCCTCAAATCACACACTGTACATAGCTTCCTAAATCACCTGCACATCAGACAGGCTGTGGCATAATGAACATTTCTATTTCAATTATTCTATTTTGTGAAGTAGCTGTCTAGGAGGGAAACATTCTCAAGGGTGTACCCTCAAGAAAAAATGTTAGGGTAAGAAGGTATAGGGCAACTGAAAAACTAAAAGCCATTTATTATCACTTAATTCTGGTGATCCTGGGCACAAAACTGAGGCATTCGTGGATGTGATAAATACTGGCACCAACTCCTGTATTCAAAACTACTTTATGAGCAACATGGCACCATGATTTTTTTCATTGATTTTCTTTACCATTGTCTCATAAGCCAACATCCATTGAATGTCCACAGATTTTGGCACTGTATAATGCTCTATTTATACTTTTTTTTTTAATAAAGTGACATAGGATTAAAAAGGAAAATATGAATATTATTATCTTTTAAAAGAGCTCTGTTTGAGAAATGAGCATAATGACGTGCAGTCATGTAATAATAATCCTACTAAATTTCCAACATTAAGCATGAAAGTGTGCAAGATTTTTATAGAATATATTTCTAGTTTACATACATTAACGATGTGAGTCAAGATGTTCACAAAGTTGGTTTATTTGAAAGATATCAATGGTTCTAAATGCAAACCACAAGACATTTATAATATGTCAAAGAAATCTAAAAGTGGTGGAAGTAGAAGGGGGGGGTTCTTAGCACTATCATTTCAAAGCGATGCTCTTTAGTACCTTAAATTGCTATGATGTATTTTCAACTCAGCTATTTTGTTCCATTTCAAAATATTTTCATAACTTTTCATTTCTTCATATTTTTTTAGCTATTAAAATAGTATCTCTACAAGCAATTTTTGGTTTTTATATACAGTACTATAAAATAAGAACCACCCGCTATTTCTAACACTTGTTATGTACCATTTAAGATTGTTTCCTTTTTGATAACGCGTAGTGGAATGATGAGCAACCCTATCATTACTTTAGAACACTGTTTTATAAGAGATGAAGTGAAACAAAAAACATTTTTGGGTAGGTTTAGTGATTGTGTCTCAGGCTCAAAACTTTACATAATTAAGCACCGTTGGTTCAAAGACTGCATTTAAAATTTAAATTCATCAGAAAGATGAAATTATCTCTGGAATAGTGAATCAAAAATTAATGTAAAGCCTTTCCTAAATTACATCAAATTTATTGTTACCCTTTTTCATGCTCCCATGTTCATTGACTCGTTCATTTGTTCATTCATTCCCTCACCCACTTACTCACAAATAAGCATTATACAAAGTCAAAAACGTCACATTTCTTCCTGTCCAAGAGATGCATGCAAAAGTTCAAGAACCACTGTGTTAAAGAGAAGTTATGCACAGCCACTTCTTATAGAAAGTGGTGGGAGAGCTAAATCAGACAAGGAAGTATCAGAATATTTTAGGAACTCGAGTTGAATTTTGAAAGGCTAGTAGGAACGAGATAAGTAGGAGGAAATTCCAGGCTGATGAATTTTCAAAGGTATTTAGGGATGTAACAACTTGATATTTTGGGGGAGTCTTCAGACTAACTAGAGAAACAAGTAAATGTCAGATCAAGAAGGGCCTAGGTGTTAATGCTGTTTAATTTTCATCTTGCATTAAAAAAATTTCAAGTAGTGGAATAAAATGACCAGTCTTGAATTGTAGTAAGGTCACTTAGGTAATAGCGTGGAAGATACTGGAGAAGGCACAGAGAAACTAGGGCAAGGAAATATTAGGAGTCTACAGCAATAATGTGGGCTCAACAAAGATAGGACAGCAGGTGGTGAACAATTTACAGCCTTGCTGTACTTGAAGTGGTCCTCAATCAGCAGCATGAGCACTAATCAGGAGCTAGTCAGAAATACATAATCTTGTGCTATACCTCTTACCTTCAGGATCAGTATTTTACCAAGCTCCTTAGGTAATCTGTATGTCTGTGAGGTACCAGAGATAAGAGATATAGAATAGGCAGTTACTGGGCGAAAAAAAATCACTATTTTAGATATGGTCAGTGTTTAGATATGGAAGCGTTTGTGGAATATCCAGGGAAGCTGATCCATAGTAGTTGGGGGTCTGGAGGCTGGGATGAAGTCTGGTTTGGAGATGCAGTTTAGCATTTATCAACCTGTTGGTATTTGAAGCCATGGTCTGACCCAAACTTCCTGGGATTTGCCCAGGAAATGTATATCCAGTTAGTTAGGCAAAGGGCCCAGAACACAGGCCTAAGAAACACCATTATTTAAAAGTCCCATACAGCAAAAGGTCTTCCACAAGAAACTGAAGGAACTTCCAGTGGTAAGAAAAACCATATGAGGAGTGGGAAGAGAGGTCCAAGTGGCAGGATGGTCAACATTTTCATTTTCCAGTAGAGGTCACATAAGAATAGACAAGAATCCATTGGATTTGGCAATCCTGATGTCAGAGTAAAGCTAATGGGTAGAGAGTATTTCCCATTAAGTTCTTCCTCGATCTTAGTATGTGAGAATGCAATTTAAAGATTCTGCTTTCAAAGTTCAGATGAGTAGAGTATGTGGGAGGAGCTTGGTATGAAGCCAGCTTGCAAATGTTCTCTCTTCCACTAGATGTCAATTCTTTCAAGCATAAGGAAGGCACATAAAGATGAGTAAGACCCAGTCCTAACCCTCAGAGTTTATAACAAATAATAATAAATTAGACAAATAACTGTAGTACAAGATAAGATATTACAATTGATAAAATATTATGGGGACTCAAAAGAGGGATATACCATATGCAGACATTCAGGAAAGGCTGCATACTTCTCAGCTATTAGCACACAGAATTGCACCTACTAAATACTTAACCGATTTTGACTTTTTTTTCTCAACAAATCTGGTGAATTAGTAATAAAGACAAAGTCCCATTTATTCCAAAATCCAAGCAAACTTCAAATTCATTCATGAGATATTTATTAAAATAACACATTTAGGGAAAAAAAATCAATACAATGTATACATCATTACTGAAAACTGTATACCATCATACAAAAAAGGATTTTTATCTTGGGAAATTGATTTCTAATTTATGGCAAGTTTTACTTTCAGAAATAAAACCACAGAACACCACGATCTAACTCAATCTTAAAGGCTGGCATGCTGAGCAAGGAATGTTCTTATTCTTTGTAGGAGCTCCTTCTTTACACTGTCAGGTACCAGGGCTGAAATACAAAAATAAAAACATAAGAGTAAGAAAATTCCAATTAGTATATGTCAATTTGAGATGTGACATTTTATTCAGGATGACTAAAAAAAGAATTTCAATAAATAACATTAATGGTTCAATTTAAAAAAAATAGGTAAATATATCTGGAAAAAAGGTGTCTATTTGCAACTCATTATTTTAATGAATTACCTAACAACTTAATACACTGCATTGTGATGAGGAGAAAACACTGGAATATTCTTTAAATTGGGAATGGAGAAGGCCATTTTAAAACAGAGGCTATAACAGATAGATAAATTTGATTTAACCACAAGAAAAGCATATGCTTGGTAAAAAATCATCATAAACAAAGCCAAAGGATAAAAGCTGGGGAAACACTCTTACAGAAAAGGGTGATCTCTCTACTACACAGTTGCTTCAAATTGTTAAGGAAAAGACCAGCAGGCTAAAAGAAAAATAAGCAAAGGAAATAAGGAAAAGGAGAAACTAATCAGGTAGGCTAAAATCCAAAGGTCAATAATATACTGTGTTGACAAGAATGAAGGAATATAGGCATTCTTGTATTAGCTGGTGGGAGTATAAATTGGTACATGTTTTGGAAGGTAATCTGGCGATATTTTATTGAAATAATGAATGCACATATGAGTGTACTTCAAAAAGTTCCTGGAGAGATTCCTACAATCTTTTAGTTCTATTTTTCCACGAACTTCTTGAAATGCCCTTCTACTGTCTGACAGCAACAGTAATTATGGCATATTTTTATCTTCTTTACTTTCTGAATTTTGACCCATGTAACTGTATTATCTATTCAGAATATTAAATAAAAAATACAAAAAACCACAAAAAACAGGAATTAACTAAAATAACGTACACACTGATGTCCAGAAGAAACGGAAAACTTCGGATATAGTTCAATATTTCTATA